TTTAGAATTTCTCAAAAGATGCTTGCTGTCAAAGTTTTTTTTTTTTTTAACTGAAATGTTATGTCCTGCAGACTGACAATTTACAAAATCTTAATTAACAGCAGCAAGTTCTTAATTTCCAGTAAATCTTCCACAGCTCTTTCTGGAAACTAATAGATGAAATAGCTGCAGACCTACTTTGGTCAAATACTTTGTTATTGAAATATACATATGTATATATATTAATAGAACCAAGTATATAAAGTGACATTCCAAGAATGGATGCATTTACAGACAGTAAAAATAAACTGTATGTCATGGCTGAACATGATCATGATGCCTTTGAAGACATTCTGTAAGAGGTAGGTGACAAGACTTCTCTGCCATCTTCAAATGTCCCCGATTCTACATTCATCATTGTGTGTCTCCTTTGTGTAAGCCCAAAGATGTTCCATAGCTCCCATGTTTTCTGTTTTTGAAGGTCACCAGCATGATGTTAAGTGGTACACATTTTTTGGTCACAAAGAACAGATTCTGCCCATAATTTGACTCCTGGTGACAATGACGTGGAGGACCGCCTTTTTGTGCTTTTCGTAGGCCTTGTCTTCACCACAACTGTATCTACGATCATCCTCCAGTTATCTTTGTGCATGAGAGCAAACCACAGGCTAACATTTCTTCAGCAAACATTGCTTAAATGCAGAAGGCCTTTGAGAGAGAATGCATCCCTTTGCTAATTTCCGATTTCCATCCTGGCACTGCACGGTTCTGGTGTGCCAGCCCGTGTCACAGGTCCTAGAGCAGGCCAGCCATGGACCTGTCACCCACTGCAGCTGTGGGGTATGTACTCCCACTTTGTTGCTGCCATGGCTAATGACAGAGTTTACGTTCTGAGTGGACTTCTTGGGAACAAAGAAGCTATAGCGGACATCTAGTGCTTTCGTTGGATCTGTTGCCAGGATCTGCACTATCAGAATTTCTTTTGTGGCTGAATAGCCCATCCCATGCAAAAAATCATCTCTGTGGCTCCATCCGCTGTAGTTCATGACTGTGCCATTGATATCTATGATCGTCTCTGAAGTGGAGATCATGTACTTGCCATTGATAAGGTACTCGCCAGATTTCTTCTTTAGAGCTAAGTAAGCAGTGAATCTAGTCTGGTCTTTGGCCTTGAACTGGCGGACTTTTATGTGGGTTGCTCCTTCAGGGATCCTCACAACATCAGTATAACCCTTACTGTGGGCAGAAATGTCCACGTGAGAGGTAAAAAAAAAAGAAAGGGGCAATGAGATAGAGTTAGTATATGCCTACACGTGGATAAACATGTAGAAGTTTTCTAAGTTTTCCCTCATCTTGACACACAGCTTTTGCTTCTTCATCTTATTATTATTATTTACAATTTATTTGCTTTGTATTCCAGTTGTATTCCTCTCCCTCATTTCCTCTGAGTCCCTCCAAGTCCCACACTCCCTCCCTCTTCCTCCTATATCCCTCTTCCCTAGTCCACTGATAAGGGAAGTCCTCTTCCCCTACTGTCTGGACCTATCCTATCAGGTCCCCTCAGGACTGCCTGGATCCTCTTCCTCTGTGGGCTGGCTAGGGGGAAGTGATCAAGGAGCAGGCAATTGAGTTCATGACAGAGACTGTCTTTGTTCTCCTTACTAGGAAATCCCACATGGAGACTGAGCTGGTGTTAATGTGTTTAAGTGATTAAATTTAGGTTGACTTTAAATCTTTTAAAAGGACAGAATGAAATTGCAGTAACATTATATCTGCCTTTGTTGAGATATTCAAAATTATGGTGATGTTAATAATGTTTACTTATTTAAAATGGAAAAAATGGATTTAAAAATTTATATGATCATTTCATCTTACTACATTTACAAAGATATTTTATGTTCTTTCAACACAGGAACAGGATAGGTTATATGTGAGTATAAATAAACAAATCTGTCTCAATCTCATAGCAATTTTTAATGTTTTAAAATCCTGATATTGAGCTAACTAGCAAACATTTTAGTATTCCCTAATTCTTGTCCCAGGCCAGGTAAAACTTTGTTTTTCAAGGTGGGCCACAGAAGTCATTCTTAGAGATCTTCTCCAATATGCAGGGTTATTTAAGAGCATGGCTTCAGCTACTTGTTGGATTGGCATCAGGACAAATTAAGCTGCTGTCCCTAGAAGCCTTACTAGATTTTTTTGGGTCAAGAAGCTAAATGAAAAGTAAATCATGAGTACTTACTACTATTTTTAGAAAATTAGACTTTAATGGCGTATGCATTTTTGAATGTTTAGTCTTCACCCAAAATTATGACAAATTGAATAAGGTGTTTTAGTAGGAAAAAATTAAGCTGGCATTAAAAGATACATCATCAGCTCAGATCATCTCTAATATGCACAATCTTGTTGAACTCTAGTACAAATGCAAATTAAGTACCAGGAGACTACACCAATAAGAAGGACTCATCTTTTGCCAAAATCTGTGCTTTTTAAGAGGGTAAAATAAAGCATAAATGTTTATTATTAGTTAATATAACCCTAAATATGTTATAGTTATTTAAATAAAAGCAACATTCCATATGCATATTGGCTAACTTATGAAATTAAATTGATTATTTTCTTATTCTCAGTTGAATTTCAATATTGTATGTTAAAAATCTAAGTTCATATCCCCTGGCTTGAAGAGGAAGCTCATTCTCAAAAGAAGTCTGTGTCTACCAGGCATCTGATCTGCAGTAACTACCTCATACTTGTGTCAGAACCTCTGAGTTTTGGGGTGAGCAGGATTACTTGGAGATATTGCTAATTCTGTCTACCTGGATTTATGATCTTTATTTTTGCAACATTATGTAAGATAAGACTGTGTTCCTCATTTTTTTCTGGTAGCTTCTAATATTGACAGATGGTACATAAACCTACAAGTGCTTCGAGTTCAGAATGACAGTTAGAAATGATGCCATATTTTACACAGAAGAACAGGAAGTGAGAATATAATAAAAATCTTTAAATGGCAATATTACCGAGAACCTCATTGTCAGCGCTGGCCTTAAAAGGAGACCTTGTGTCTAAATAAATTTAACTGTTATAAAATATGACCAATAAGGGAAGAGATTTCATGTGTGTCCATTGTCTTTATTATGAATATATTCATCACATCATGTGACTTCAAAAGCACACATATTAATAACAAATTCAGAAAACTTAAAATTTGCATTTAGCATTTTAAAAAGTTGTTTTTAACTTTATGTTGAAGAACACGTAGGATACAAATAGTTAGATATTACCTTAAAAACTAGATTTCTCATTGTAAGTCACATTCTTTATCATCTTCCTTCTCTACTGCTTTTCTATTTTTCTTTTTTCTCTTCCTTAATCTCTTTCTTTTCTTATATCACAAAATGTCCCTCACACTTCTGACCTCAAGATAGCCTCTGCTTTGTTTTTGCATTTAAACACTACGGTGAGTTACGTAAGTTTTAAACTTTCAAACTTTAGTATCTTCATTTGTGAAATAAAAGTTGGAGGTGCTAGTCTGTTAGCTGTCTTGCATATCTGAAATGTGAAAAGATACAAAATCTAACTGGATCTTCGGGACTGGTATAGATGATCCAACGTGGCCAAATGATTCTGATTTCATTATTTAGGAAGAAAAATAATATGTATTTATAGTCAGAATAATCCTTCAGCTATGCATTTTAAAATCATATTAATCATCATTTTCGGCTTATCAAATTAGTGTGACACTTAGTGCTTTTAAAGATCTCTTGTTGGTGTGGTTGGCAGATCACTGACAAGTTAAGGAAAACAAACACCTACATCGGCATGCAGGCACACTCCACCCACATGGGAGAGGTCCTTCAGACCCTTTAGCTGAGTCAGCCATCCTTCTGAGGGCAGAATTATGGTTGATGCCAGAAGCTGCACTTTCTAGTCTCACGTGTTTAAAGCAAAAGTGAGACAGCAGGAGACATTGCTGTGTGTCTGTCCTTATGGCGTGGACAGAAACCAGATCATGCCCTATAAAATGGGATTGTTGCTGCAGCACCTCAATTAACTTGCATTTTGCAGGCGGAAATGTTTTCTGAAGAAAAACGCAGAGTCTAGCGAGAATTTGTTTGTTACAAAAATAGTAAAGAGAGTCAAGAGTGGCATCTCAAACCTGAAATCCCAGTACAGAGAAAGATGGTGACTTGATGTTCAAGGTTTCCCTGGTCTACATACCAAGGCCATGTGTCAAAAAGAAAAAAAAAGATCAATAGAAGCAATGGAGGAAGGGAGGGACAGAGGAAGTAGAACATGTGGAATTGAGAAAGGAACATCCTGGTGTCCAGTGGAAGTTGGAAGAGTGAGTGAAATATTTTGTATACATGTATAAAATATTCAAATAGATTTAAAATATCATGAAAGGGTCCGAAGGATGGCTCAGTGGTTAAGAGCATCACGTATACTCTTCCAGAGGATTAGGGTTCAGTTCCCAGCACCCATGTGGTAGCTCACACTTTCTATACCTCCAGTTTCTGGAGGTCAGATGCCCTCTTCTGGCTTCCTCCAGTAAAAGGCACACAAATGATACACAGACATACACAAAGACAAAACACCCTTATATATAAAATAAAACAAAAATATCATAAAACTAAGCTAAGGCTTCCCCACGGGAGGCTTTTGGAAAGGCAGCGCTGTTGGGCACCACTTTATGGAACGATGCACTCTTCTTTTTGCTCTCTAATCCCAAATTCTCAGCTTCACAACTATTGCAGGTTATCTGCTTCCAGAGGCATTGAAAGTTTTCATCAGGCACAGGGGCCTATCCAGCTCTTCTCCCCAACCCTTCTCATACCCTGAATGCATTGTCAAAATTACCTTAGACCTTTTCCTACAAAGACATGATGAGGTAACACCTCTCCTGTTTCAGCTTTGCAGGCCTCTAAAACCTGGTTTAATTCACATGGGGGTTAGGATGTGATGGTGTTACCTTTTCTTGTTGAAGGTCCCAATAACCTTTGTACAGCTGGAGTTGTCTCCTCCACACACTCCACACTTGTCATACTGCAGCTTTGAACCAATGATGCCATCACAGCCAGTTCTCACGCACCTTCCTCGGACACACACAGAGTTGCTGTATGGCCGACATTCAGTCCCATCTGTAACCTGCATATGACAAAGATATCATCTATAGGGATGCCTGGGGTTTGGAACTTTTGGTTCTTTTAATTATGGAGAAGGTTGTAATTTGTGACCTCTTATTGTAATAAATTATACTCTTAAAAATAAAGTAGACATTCCTCAGAGGCTAAGAACATATGATGCTCTCACAGAAGACACAACTCCACTTGCTAGCATTCATGATTGGTGGCTCACAGCAACTTGTAACTCCAGCTTTAGGGAATCCATTGCCTTTTGCCTTCCCAGGCACCTGCTCTCAAGTGTGCATACCAACACACACACACACACACACACACACACACACACACACACACCACATACACACAGTTAAAAAAGAAAATAAATCTTTAAAGCTAAGCCATCACAAAGTTGTCAACCATTTAATTTCTAAGTAGGAAAGATGCATAGTGTGTTTTTATTCGGAAGATCTGGTTATGTACTTTCTCTCTTGAACTTCTTGCCTAATATGCGTGGTGAGCCAAGCACTAAGCCCCATTTTATATTCATGGCACAGCCACATTGTATCACATTCACTTCTCACGTTGATGAGAAGAATCTTTTAACTTTGCATGAGATTCACTCCTGTAGCTATCTGAGCATTAGAAGGCTTAAAACTACAAAGAATCCTCTCTTTTGTTTAATTGTTAGTTTAGCAGCAAATTATATAATTCAGACCTATTTAAAATCCTGTCATAGTAATTGCCTGTTGAACCTTCAGGCATCAAAGCAAAGACAAACAGATTCATGTACAAAATAAAACTTGGGCAGGGGTGTTTTCAAAAAGTTTGGGAATAGAGTGAATACTTGGTTCTGAATTCAGGAAATAGTATATGTTGTTGTTTCAAAGCCATTTAAAGCATAGAATGTACAGAAACTGTAGTGTGCTTGTGTGGATACATGTCCAAACATATTTAAATATGCATTTTAAATTTGTGTGCATATGATTCTTTCAGATGTGTGTATGTGAGTTTGTATTTTTACTTGTAAACTGAAGTAGAATATCCCTCAAAGTGTTAATAATTCTCTTCCTTGTTATAGTTCTAGCTTTTCATTTTTATTTCTGTGTAGTGTTCTAAGGAAAATGTATTACTTTGCAACTAAATAGATATATTAAAATATACATGAATTGGACACTGGCTGATTTTTTTAATGGTATCTAGTGTAGAGACATAGTTATACAGACACAGCTGAAGGCTGATTTCAGAGGTGTCATAGTTTTGATAATTAGATAGTGATTGTAAATTGCTGCGTGGTAGAGAAAATAATAAAAAATCCCTTTAATATATTTAGAAAATGTTTATCTGTGAAAACATGGAATAAGCACGTATGTATCTTGTAATGTAAGTGACCAGGAGGACTTTGATTTATGATGAAGGTGTAAGATTTATTGAAAATTTTTGTCAGAGACAATGACCTTAAAACTTATCTTCAAGATTGACCATATAAGTTCTTAAGTAAATGGCTGGGACATAGAAATCTTTCTTTCCAATAGTTCTCTCACAAAATTTGCCTGGTAAATTCATGTTCTTTCCTAGGCTATTTTGAAGTTAGTATCATAATTTATCTTTTCAGACAGTGAACTAAACTTTTTAAAAAGTTGCTTTTTAAAACATGTACTTGTTCTGTTAACATGTTTTTAATCCATTGCATAAAATTTGAAAATAAAGAAATTATAGAGATAAAAATAAAACTCTCCTCTGTGGCCTGGAAAGGCTGCTCTCCCCTCAGGGGTAGGTGATCAAAGGGCCAGCCGCTGAGTTCATGTCAGAGACAGCTCCTGTTCCACTTATTAGGGTACCAATTTGGACACTGAGCAGCCATAGGCTACATCTGTGCAGGGGTTCTAGATGATTTCCATGCATGGTCCTTGGTTGGATTATCAGTCTCATTGTAGATCTCTAGGCCCAGATCTTTTGGTTCTGTAGCTCTCCTTGTGGAGCTCCTGCCCCTTCCAGGTCTTTCTATCTCCCCCTTCTTTCTTAAGATTCCTTGCATTCTGCCCAGAGTTTGGCTAACTCTCAGCATCTACTTTAATATACTGCAGGATAGAGTCTTTCTGAGGCTTTCTGTGGTAGGGTCCTGCCAGTCCTGATGAGACCTGATAGGCTATGGTGAGATGGAAGGGGAGGACAACCACCCCTATCAGTGGACTGGGGGAGGGACATGGTAGGAAAAGGAGGAAGGATTGGATTGAGAGGGGATGAGGGAGGGGGCTACAGCTGGAATACAAAATGAATAAATTTTAACTAATAAAAATTAATTAATTAATTAAAAAAGAAATAAGAAGCATATTTTCTTAACCAGAAGAAGGGCTAGCACTCACAGTGAAGTTAGGAGCTCTTCTATTTAAAATAAACAGTTCTACGAAATATCAGCACAAGACATGACTTCTCTATAACCATATTTGTGCTAGCCAGATTTTTTTGTCAACTTGACAGAAACTATAGTCATCTGAGAGAAGGAAAACTATACTGAGAAAATGTTTTGGGTTGTAAGCAGGCTTACAGAGAATTTGTTCTTTTCTTTTCTTTTCTCTTTTTAGGTTTCTGCCTTACCCCAGAGGTGCCCTCCTTCAACTCCAGTAATTTCTGTTAGTATTTTTCCCTCCCTCCTTTTTGTCACCTGACCCCTCCTATTTCTAAACCATCTTGCACCTAGTCCACCCACAAAATTTAGTTGATTTATTTTTCCCACAGAGGTTCTTGAGCCTGAATGGTTGGCCTAGGTCCTCGGCATGTATGTTGTGGCTAGTTAACTTAGTGTTCGTGTAGGATCCCTGACAGTGTGAACAGGTGTTGTCTTTGACTCTCTTGCCTGTTTATGGGACCCTTTTTCTTCAACTAGTTTGGCTTGTATAGCCTTGATACGATGATTATGTGCCTGGTCTTATTGCTTGTTATGTTGTGTTTGGTTGGTGTCCCTGGGTGACCTGATATCTTTTGAGGAACTTACTCATTAGCCACAGACCACTCCTTCAAAACTGCAGTTCATCTGCATTTTAAAACATTACATTCTTTGAGGGGAGGGTTAAGGTTAATTTGAAATGAATGTCAGTATAAAAGTTGTGATGAGGCAAATTTGGCTAAGATTGCAAAAACTTTGTATGTTGCAGAAAAAAAAAAAACTCTCCAAAATCTAACTGTCCTGAAAATAATCACTGTGTGCATTGGACATTTATATACTTTATTCTATGAAGTAATTTCTACCCAGGATGCCTAATCTGGACAGAGCGAGGTAGTTACCTTTGGAGAAAAGACCACATAGTAGCCAGTGCCCTTGGCTCTGCAGGTAAGCTTGCATACGTCTGCTGGCAAGACACCTGCATACTTGGGAACCCATTCCACAAATGTTTTGACTCCTTTGGCATCAGACTGGTAGCCATTTTTGGCTTCACATTGCTCATGACGAAATGATTTACCTAGAAAACAAAGCATGTGACATTCATAACTCCTTAATTCCTGTACTGAAGAGTACTTTATGTACCACTGTTTAAAGTGCCTTCATATAAACAGAACTGAAAACAGAAGTGTTGTCTCTCAGTTCCTTGGAGACACTGCTGTCCATGACGACAATTTAAAAATCTCCCCCATGTTAGTCATTAAATTACACATGACTGTCTCTTTCCAGTGAGAGATTAATGTCAGTTCTCCAGTCTCCCTTGTTTGTTTCTACTAATACAGGGACTACAGATGACAGCTTGCAGCAGCGTACCATTAGGTGGGCAGGGTGTGACGCTGCAGGAGCGGTAGATGGCCCTCTTCCCGGTGCAGTAGCGGCCGCTGTTCCGAGGTGCAGGGTTATTGCAAAGGCGGTAGGCGAACTGCACCCCTCCCCCACATGACCGAGAACACTGGCCCCAGGGGCCCCAGGAGCCCCAGTTTCCATGGCTTGAGGTCTGAAACAATAGAAGATATTTTAACCCTGTTAGGAAACAGCATCCCACATGTATGTTGCAGCCATTTGCATGTGTCATCCCAGCGGAAGTGTATGTATGCTCCAATTAAGGAAGGGACTGCCGCCCATTTGCAGTGCTAAGCAAGTCATCTTTTCTTCCGGACCTTGTTTCAAACAGCAGAGGATCTAAAGTGTCATTCTAAGCAATGAGCACATGGATTACATCCTGTTTTCTCCAGCCATTGCATATCCTGCCTTCTGATACTGTAAAAGTCTTGTTCATAACCGCAGATACCTTTTAACATTCTTTGTACTTTCATCTTGGACCAGTAATGGAAATCGTTGGTCATGCTGATGCTTTCCTATGATGTTGGCCATTTACATTTCCTCCCTTCTATTTAGTCCTCAAATTCTGAGGTCCTGCAGTTGAGATCACACATTCTGCCTATGATAGACTCTCCCCCATACAGGAAGGCACTTGAGCGGGGCTTGACTAAATTCACAACTAGATGTGACAGACAATCAAAGGTACAGCCTCTGTGCTCACACACTCTACGTGGGAAGATCAAGCCTAGGTACCAAACTCTGAGTTTTTTCCTGTGGAGACAGTGCAGAAGGAAGCTGAGAGACTATATTAGGTATAAGCTATTTTGGTTAGGAAATACGAGCTCCTAGTCACCTGTTTCAGGATATGAGACAAGACACAGGCAATGAGAAGTGTCTATTGCATTGTGAACATACTCTTGGGGGCAGCCTCTAGGACACCATAGCTCCTAACATAATTCCTAACAGAATTGTCTGTTGGGAAAAAGTGAGCATTTGGAATTGTACAAGATATAAGCAAGGACCATACTGTCTGCACTGTCACTGTTTCCTTACTGACCTTCAGTAGACATATTCTGATAATGTTAATGAGATTTTAAAAGTGACACAGAGGCTCCGCTGTCAGTGTCAATCTGGTTTATTTGTGAAATCCTGTAATTTAAAAAAAAATCCCTGTTACTTGCATGTTTTCCTTTGTTTGGTTACAATCAGGGATGCTATGAGCAGAGATGAAATTTAATAAATTAATGAAGGACAAACCCATTGAAGGACAAAGCCCTCTGGTGACAATGACTATGCATGCCTGGAAAATTAAAGTACTCTGTTGAGTCTCTAGGCTTCAGTTGATAAGAAAACCACTTACCGAGTAATACTTTTTCTTAGTTTTGTCCACACATTTGCCCTGGAGGCAGATTCTGCCCTTCCCACAGGGTGTGCCCTCCACTGCAGGCAGCTTCTTGGTCAGACACACCATTTGGCCTTGGCGTACCACAGCACACCACAGCCGGGCACAGACATCCATGCCAGGGCACACAGAGTATTCAGGCCCAAATGTCAAGTTACATTGCTGGGTGGCATCATAGGTCTGTCCTGGGAGCTCCTCAGGGCCCAGAATCTGCTTCCGTGGTAGGTCTAACAAACAGTTTCCTAAGAGAATAAGAAAGATTTAGAATCAAGCTAGGTTTAGGTATCAAATGTCTGTAATCAGGGTCCTGAAAATGAAATGTTTCAGGAGGTGTAACTACAAGTCTGTAGAGTGGTCCCCTTGATGCAATAGGCAGGACAGACCATCTGTTTACGTTCTAAAATTCTTAGAGTGATGCGCTCTTCACCTGGCTATAAAGATGGAGGTAAGGCTGCCATTGCTACTCCTCCCTATGACTATTTTGTAATAAAGTAGTTGTAAAAATAGTCACCGAGGAAATGAGGAGGGGCTTGAAGGAACTCTAATGGGGAAATGCATAGTAACTATGATACTTACAGTTTTAAGCAACAACTCATTGATGATACTTCACACTCAACAATTCTGACTGCCCTTGTCACCATGTGCCCATAAACCTGTCTCCCAATCACTAACTTATTGAACACATAGGCTATTCTAAACACGAATAAGATGGTAAAGAATAAAAAAAAAAAAAAATCGGGCAAGCACTGTTCTGTACCTCAATATGCTACTAAAGTGAAAGAGAGGCCAAATAAATATTTCTTCCAGACTGGTAAAATTTTTAGCAAAAGGCTTTCAACTTCCATTGAATAAAGTAGTGATTTTTTTTTTTTTTTTAAGCAAAGATCTGTGGTAAATTAGACCAGAAAAGTCCTAATTTTCACCTTTGTATTTATGCTAGTCTGTTTATCATGGGCTTGTTGAGTATCTACAGCGGCAGCCAAAAGCAACTGAAGTCTCGCTGCATGCCGTATGTGGAGGTGGTGGGGTCAGGCAAACAGAAATGCTGTGGAGGATCCACAGAAGCAGGAACTTCTTCTTTTCATTCAGAATGCTTCCTTAAGAACCCAGTCCCAGGGAACTGTTTTTTGTTTGTTTGTTTGTTTGTTTGTTTGTTTTACTATATACTCAGGCACAGGACCTCACTTCTGTGTTTTTAATTATTCTGTTCACTTGATTATACAATTAAACACTGATTATAATAGCAATAACAGCTAACATTAGTTATACATTCAGAATTCTTTACATATATCAACTTATTTAATTCATAGGAGGTCGGCATACTCTTTTTATTCATCTTAAAGACAAGTCAGGAAATATAAATTGCAAATTTCACATCCAGTGTTACATAGTAATTAGGGCTTGTGCTCAGGGGCTGCCATCCTTCTGCCACACCATGTTGTCTCTGTCAGGCATATAGAAAGATGTCTCCTTTTCTTTCTGAGGAGCTGACGCATGTAGATATACCCTAAGTGATAAATATTGCACCTAATGTTAGACACAGCTGGCTTTAAGTCTAATCCTGCTAAAATTTTGCATGCTTGTGTGCTCCTAGCCAAACTAGTTAACCGCTCCCTAATTTATGTATGGGATCTATGAGATGCTTACATTTTTCACTGTTTACTGTAAGGATAGAATCAGGTTTGAAAAATTAAAGAAACAACAGAAATAGGTGAAACAATGCTAGTTGGTTCTATGCTCAAGTGAACTGGGCAACTATTCAGATATGTTAGTCAATACCTTTTATCCCCCCAAAACTCTTCCACATTCAAATCCTTACACTGAGAAAATAACTATTCAGCATGTTTGAAGTGAACTGCAAACCTTTTTTTTACAACTGCACTCAAGTTTCTATTTGTCCATCTGTGATAGAGCCATTATATGAAAATGAATAAATAGCAAAGTTCCCATTTAACTGGGCCAGAGCGTTTGAAGAGGTAAAGCTTGTTAAGGCAAGCCAGAAAAAGCATTAAAAACCAGAATCTCGCCAAAGAGAACTTAGAGAGAAAAACATCAAGTTAAAAGAAAAACTAACATCAAGTGAAAAGGAAAGAACGATAGTAAAACCTCACTAAATGTTCTTTATGGGACAAAGGAAGAGCAGGCACTTTGGAATGCTGGAAAAAATGTTGTCTTCATTGCTACATGAACCGGCTGCTGTGTAAACCAGAGAAGCCTTAGCAGATTGCTGATGTTAGGACACTGTCAAAAAATCTTAGAATCAGCGAGAATGCTTTTCAGGTCTTCAAAACTGCTGTTTCACTGGTCTTTGTTTTCCCTCTAAAAAGTAGACTGTGTACTAAGGTATTAGCTGGGAAGACTCAACCATGTGTAGACAAACAAGGCACAGGTATACCTTATTTTTCTTTTATTATTATTTATAATTTATTCACTTTGTATTCCTGTTATAGCACCCTCCCTCATCTCCTCCCAGCCCTATCCTCCTGCCCTCTTCCTCCCCTATTCCTCTCCCCTAGTCCACTGATAGGGGAAGTCCTCTTCCCCCTACTGTGTGACCCTAGCCTATCAGGTCCCATCAGGACTGCCTGAATTCTCTTCTTCTATGGGGTGGCTGGGTCTCCCCACTAGAGAGAATTAATCAAGGAGCAGGCAACTGAGTTCATGTCAGAGACTGTCTCTTCTCCCCCTTACTAGAAAATCCATATGGAGACTGAGTGTCTGTGGGCTACATCTGAGCAGGGGTGTAGGTCTTTTCTATGCATGGTCTTTGATTGATGCATCAGTCTCTGCAGTCCCCCTGGGTCCAGCTGTTTTTTTTTTTTTTTGTTTGTTTGTTTGTTTTGTTTTTGTTTGTTTGTTGTTTTTTTTTTGGCTTTGTTAGTCTCCTTGTGGAGCTCTAGTCTCCTCCAGGTCTTTCTATATCTCCATTCTTCCATAGGACTCCCTGCTCCCTGTACAAAGTTTGGCTGTGAGTCTCTGCATCTGCTTAGACCTGCTGCTAGGTGGAGTCTTTCAGGGGATACCTGGTTTTTGAACAAAGAAGCCAAAACAATACAATGGAAAAAAGACAGCATCTTCAACAAATGGTGCTGGTCTAACTGCATGTCTATAGGTAAAAAATGCAAATAGATCCATACTTATCACCCTGAACAAAAGTAAAGTTCATGTGGATCAAAGACCTCAATATAAAACAGACACACTAAACCTGTTAGAGGAAAAAGTGGGGAAGAGCCTTGAACACATTGGCACAGAAGACAACTTCCTGAACAGAACACCAAGAGCTCAGGCTCTAAGATCAACAATCAATAAATAGAACCTCATGAAACTGAAAAGCTTTTGTAAAGCAAAGGATACTGTCATCAGAACAAAAAGATAGCCTACAGACTGGGAAGGTATCTTCACCAATCCTATATCTGACAGAGGGCTCATATCCAGATCAACCTCATTTACAGTGAACCAAAATAAGTCTTCATCTCAAGATAGATACACAGTCACTGATACCCACCCCACTTTACAGGAGATGATGAGGGGGAAGACTGCAGAATGTAGGCAACTTGGAATCGATCTTTGATAAGGATACTTCAAGATGGAAAGTGTCTTTGCAAAGCTTAACTCAGTAGAATTAAAATAACACATTTTCTTTAGAAGTCACGTGGGTGTAATAGTTTCTTGTTTAAAATAAAATTATTTCCTTCGTTGGGTGATTGACATTAAATCACTGCTATTTTTTTTTTTAAAGAAAAATTGGTCCCTGCATTCATTTCTGCTTTCTATGTAGTATGCACTTTAGTAACTTGTTTTTATATTTAATGATTTTCTTTTGTAACAAAATAGTATGGACATCTCTACCACATGGAAACCTTATGCCAGGAAATGACAAGAATCATTATAGTGCCTGACTGTGAAGCTTACAGTACACAGTATTTAAAACTGATGGAACAGCGGGTTATCCAATCCATGCCTTTCACTTTTAGAAGTACATATGATATGGAGGTGGACTGAAACTAGGAAATGACTACTCTTTCAGCATTTTAATTTTTTTTTTGCCTTTATTGGAATCCAACTGACTGTCTACTTCTATGTTACCTTCTCTATTCTTACTTTTAGTCACTCCTTCATAACCAGTAAGAGCTGGAGGGGACAGGAACTCCACAAGGAGAGCAACAGAACAAGATATTTTGAACACAGGAAACTTCCCAGAGACTCATACTCCAACCAAGGACTATTCGTGGAGATAACCTAGAACCCCAGCACAGATGTAGCACATGACAGTTCAGTGTCCAAGTGGGTTACCTAGTAATGGGAAGAGGGACTGCCTCTGACATAATCTGTTTGGCCTGCTCGTTGATCACCTCCCCCTGAGGGGGGAGCAGCCTTACCAGGCCATGGTAGAGGACAATGCAGCCAATTTTGATGAGAACTGATAGACTAAGACCAGAAAGGAGAGGAGAACCTCCCCTATCAGTGGACTTGGGGAGTGGAATGCATGCAGAAAAGGTGGGAGGGTGGGATCAGGAGGGAAGGAGGGAGGGGCTTATGGGGGGATACAAAATGAATAAGGTGTAATTAATAAAAAATTAAAAAAAGAGAAAAACGAAGTTTATATTACTTTGAAATCCTACATGGTCTTGGTTCTGTTCTAGACTGCCAAATTGTGCCTTCATCCTTTCTTTTCTTTCTCTCTTTCTTTCTTTCCTTTTTCCATTTTCATATCAGGTGTATATAAAGTGTATACAAATAAGAACAAGTTGGCAGGCATTTATTCAGGGATGTGTATTTCTCCATACATACAAGCCTAAAAATCTGAAATAAGGTCAACACCTAAAAGCCAAAAAGAGTCATTTGAAATAGGCAAAGAAAAGAACATGATTCTTTCTCCTTTGGCTCTGCAGCCCACCAGTAAATGAAGGAAGATACAACTTGCTTCAGAAATAGAACTTAAAAGGCTCAGCTATTTCAGAATGTCTTCCATGTTAATGATAAGGAGAAATTATAAGACTAAGGCTTTTCTTAAAAAAAAATTAATCTTTCACCTTGTCTTTTCTTCTGGCACTCAGGTATAAGATTGAAAATTGACCTAAATATCCATAGGTTGAAAAAAACTCAATGAATGATCCCAAAGAAGCACTTGAGATCTCACAACATTTTCTCTGCTCACAATTTGTTTCTAGCTTCATATTCCTGACTTTGCATACTCTCTCTAAGGCCCTTGGATGAATTACTAAAATTAATAGTGAGATGTTCATTTCCTCTTTTGGGTCTAATGATAAAGGAACAAGAACATTGTCAGGGGAGCAGATGATGCTGACCAAAAGTGATTCTAGGAGTCTGCAGTTGGTAGGCATATTGTATGCTTATCATCATATATAACAGTAAGTGAGGCTAAGCTTTAAATCACAGCTCATCATTCCCTTAGAGTTAATTGCTTCACATTTTCAAAAAGCATATTTATTATGAAAAATCATGATATATCCTAACAGGCTTCACATATTCTTGACGTCACTTTAAAAGCTAACTTTATGCTTTGATTGCTACTCCTGGAGTTGGAAATTAAGAAAGAAGCTAGACATATACTTTTCCATTACTATTTTCTGTCCAAAGTTCTGTGACTGTTGAGTGGCCATTGCCTCAGCTATTTAAATAAGTGAAAAGATTTTTTGGATAAATAACCATCTGTACATTTCCTTTATCAGCTCAGGTTGCTAGTGTTCTTGAGTTGTACCCACTTGGTCTTTCTCATCATCTGGCAGAGGACTTCTGGATGTAGCAAATAAAGTTATTTCCCTGGACCTCATTGAAGGTTAGGAAGCCTTTGGTAAAGGAAATTCAATAACTTGCCTTCCTTGCACAATTTCTCTGCCTGAGCTTACCCTTATTTCAGAGGCTTGTGTTCCCAGCCAGCTAACTTGTATAACTACTGCAACATTTCTGCAAAGCCCTTGGCCAGAGGTTGGGGAGTCCCATGAGGCAAAGCTACTCCTGTTCCAAATCTCAAGTCTCCAGATACAGTTACTTTGGACTGTGCACTTTGGCTTTCCAGCCATAATCGAACCACTGCACATTTCTCCTTTGGCCTAAATCAGGAAACACTCAGTATTAATGAATTTAAATCTGGCGGTGGCAGTGTGCTTCAGATGTTCAGTTACTTATGGCTAATAATTTAAGAAATAAATCAAATGCTTTGAGTTTAATTTGACTCTAGCTTTGCTTTGCTTTGCTTTAACACTGCTGGAAGGGCAAATAGGAAGAAGGTGATGTCACAGCAAATGTGTGTTTCAGGTCATGTGCTCTTTGGGCATCATCAAAATACTGGACACATTTGTTACAAAACCTACTTAAGCAGGACATGTTTTGTTGCCTCAATTTAACTTTCCTAAGTAACTGAAGTCCCTTTTCTCTCTGTGTGACTCACTGCATCTGGCCAATGTCTATTGGTCTGTCTAGGAATGACACTAGCATGACAGATGTCACATTGTTGATGTTTAGTAAAATGGGATCAGGTCACTACACATTATTATTATTATTATTATTATTATTATTATTATTATTATTGTTATTATTATTATCATTGGATTTAGGTGGGCAGTTTGCTGATTTTGTTACTGTTAAGACAGTAAAAAAAAAGAGTGTTATGCTATGGTGTGATGGAATCTGTTAGTCTCTGAATTAACCTGTGTCTGTGTGCTTGTTTTTTGTTAAAAGCCAAAGCAATGTTGGAAGCATAGTTATTGTACTGAAAGTAAGATCTTATATTCTACATACATGAAATAAAGGAATCATTCTCAAATTACATACAAAAAATACAATTCCATACAACATTGTAGCTGAGCTCATACACACGCAGGGTGAAAAGCTGACCTATTTTTGCCATAAGAATTTGCTGCCTTAGCAACTTGATGCGTTTGCTTAGAGATTCAGGGTTGAACTCAGGCTCTTGGAATGTGTAATATATAATTTTAAAATAAAATATTCATGCTATTTCTTAAAAATTAAAACAGCAAAGTTAGTGTCACGATTAGAGAGCTAAGATGCTACCAGACAAAGATATTCTGAGGTAATGATGTACACACTGTGTTAAGAGGAAGATACAGGGAACCACCCACTTCAGGATTTGGCCACTACTATAACTAAACTAAAGAGAACTGCCATTTTATTTTAGTCTAAGGAAAGGTCTAAGTGTCTGAGTATTGTTTCTAAGTCTTTTGTGACATAAGGTATCTTATAAGGTATCTTTTCTACTATTGGAGATATTTATTTTTTATTGATGAGAATATTTGTTTACTTATTTACTTTGAGGCATGACTGTGCTATACACCCATGGCTGTAGCAGACTTCACAATCCTTGTACTTTAGCGTGCAGAGTGCTGCATTTAAAGGTTTGCGTTACCATGCTGCTGATATAGGGAGAACGTCTAAACAAGGCTGGAACTAGATTACTCCCAGGACTATGAAATACAAATTCAAGTATCAACAAGAGCTTTACCAGTTCAATAGTAATACAGGAAATCATGAAGTAAAAAATGCACTTTGGCTACACGCTATAAAAAATCACTTTGTAGCAAACATCCCGGTGTTTGAAATGAATTTAATTTGTTAATTGCTTTAACACTGTTTAGTCAAAGTTCAAAATGCCTAATACATTAAGAAATTAGGTTTTTATAAATCAAAACTTTGTGAAACTCAGGGTAAAGATGGTTATCACCGATTCCCTTAATTTAGTTTGGAAAATGACCCATAAGATCATTTTATGAAAAATGTTATCTCCAAAATCCAAAACTTATCCACCTGCTTCTGAAAGAGACACATTTTAATTCAGCAGAAAGAAGACAGAACACCCTCTTTCCTGAAAGATGAGAAAGCTGATGTATGTGCTCCCAAGGATTCCTTCCAAGCCTGCATGTCTAGCCTGCCACATTTCTATGATGTTAAAACAGTAAAAGACAAAGAGAAATTTGCAACAGATTGTTTTGAAGACTACTTAGGGAGTGGGATTTATTATTTCTAGAAATTGTGACTTCCTCTGTACTTTCATAAGAACTACAGCACTAATCCTAGTCTTACAGAATTTAATAAAGTATGCTATGCTCTTGAACTGCCTGGAAAGGATAAAGCCAGCAATTTTCCTTTGAAGCTCTTGAAGTCTTTTCCCACCATGGCTTTGCTATTTTTGTTCTGTAGTTTTTATTCCATTTCCAGGAGAATCTGCTGTCAGAATTAAATCAAATTCTTCTAGTCAGTGAATATGTAAAGAGCTTCCTCCCCTGGTTTTCTGTTGCTATAAAGAGAATCCAGTAATATTATGTCCTACACCTTCACCAAAGCCCTATAATAGATATGCAGCAATTTATTCTGAGAGTCATATTAACATCATGCAAACCAAGATGTCTGCCAATGTTCTCACCGGAACTTAGTGGTGAAAGAGGAAATAAAAGCCAGACTCTCAGGGCATCCACTGCTCGGCATTCTGTGTGGTCTCCCACACTGTTTCCCTTTTGAACTTTTTAAGTCAACAGCAAAAATACCATAGCTGTAATGCCACCACGGATGCTGGCATTGCATGCCAAGAGACAATCAATTTGCTCGCTTCTTTTCTGACACTGTCAAAACAACCGTTGTCTCACAGGGCAAGCTGAGCTTCATGAGGCCATCATGGTGCAGAGCTCCTAAGAATCTAAACTTTTTTTCCTGAGCCTATGTTGTCCAGAAAGCTACATACCATGACCATCATCCAGGAATTCCGTGATAGTGGCTGAAGTACATTTGGACCAGGGCTTGGATGCATCAATGCTGGTGAGGATGGAAGACATTAAACGCTTGTCTTCTGTGGAACCAAAGTTCTCTTCGCAGAATTTGGAATCATCATGAGAGAGGCCAAGTAGATGTCCTAGGGGAGAGAAGACAGAGTGCAAATGACAGAAGGAAGAAGAGAATTATCAATCACAAATTACTCTGAATTTCTATTTCTACCTGGCAAGTGCTTTAGCACTTTTTTTTTTAAAAATTGCAACAAATCAAAGTTGAGTTTAACAGTCTACATATCCAAACTGAAACCCCAGGCACATGCAAGCTGCATTCTGTTGTGAAGTGGTTGCTTTGGGAGAACATTTAGATGAAAATTGGAAAAGAAAATAAAAAAGTAGATAATCCCAATGTCCATCTGGATCACATATGCTCACTGACATGTAAAACCTTATTTAGCATCATGAATTTAGGAGGCTTCTGTGAGATTATGTCATAGTCTCACCACATATTATTTTTATTGTTAGTGTCCTGCCTTCTCTGATCAGTTACAAACCCTAGCAGATCAAAATGCATTTCTCACATGTACTGTTAAAACCTTTGTATGGGATGTAGCACTTTGCAAGCTGCAAAGCATAGATGCTTTCTGAATGGCGGTGACTTCTGCTTTCTTTTTCAAGTATGTATGTCATTCTCTAAATGACCCAAAAGACAAAACCAAATAAAAATAATGTTTACATGATTTTTCTGCATGAAATATCAGCCCTCTTCATGCTTCCATTTATGATAGTTATTTAGTCAATTGTAGATAGTTAATAGTCTCACAATGAACCTATTTTGAAAATATGCTTACCTCTACAGTATTATGAATAAAAAAATCAACATAGTTGTTATGAAGTACTAGAGATGGATGAAGAACCAGATGCCAGGAAGATGAGTAACAGTTCTAAGGCACATGGCCAGGATGTGTGTGTGTGCTTCATCCTCCCATGCTTGCTGCTAAACCATTGCCCTCTCATCTCTCCAGGTAGTAATTCTCAGACTGTCAGTATCCTCAGATTCTTATAATCTGAGTAAATTGCTTCTTGTTACTCAATATCAATTTTTCCATAGCCTAAGGGGGGGTTCATCAACCTTCTTCTACAAATCCAAAAGGCCTTTAAAAATTCAAGTAGCTACTTATTTTACCATAGCTTTCAGAATCATATGAAATCCTCAAGATCATGTCTAAGACACTGCAGCAGACTCGTCACTTTTTCCTGAGATTCTTATATGGCAAATGCAGGGATGCTGGCCATCCGATCAAGAGTTCCGTCAGTGCAGAGCAGTGCAGCCCAACAGAGATGCAATCTTTCACAGCACATTCCAGCTACTTTGGGCCAACTTGTTAAATCACTGACACCTCATAACAAAATTATTCACTATGCAGCTGACCGCTTGTGTTTGAAATGAAGTGACTACAGTTCACTGACCTTCCAATTCTCCACATATTTGTGCTATTTATTTGCTATTGACTTCAACAGCATTTACAGAATTTACTGGGCAAGCAAGATTTCTCTGAAAAGCATCTCCATTGCAACTCATAACGAGTTTGGCCAGAAGCATGAGTATTTATCAGTTTGTGAAATGTGACCCCAAATAACATGGGAAGCAAGATCAGCAAGGGCCTCTTTAATTTTTGAATGCTATACAAAGTTTTTTTAAAGGAGTATCACAATTCATAGAAAACATGTTTGTTAAGATTACTGAAAATTACCTAATCTATCCTGCTCTTGCTGAAAATTCACCCTGTAGTCCCTGGACTTTTCCAAGGTAGAATCTTTACCAGCCAATACAATGGAATATACTTGGAAGTTTCATAGTGGGAATTTATGTTTATATATTTATAAAGAAAGAGGGAATGTGCCCAATGAAGTATCTGTGACAGGATATTTAGTCCAATTTATGTTTTAAATTTAACAATATGTGCTTCTTTTTGCATTATATTTTCTAAGATATTCACACATGTTTCATGGAGCCAGGATCTTTCCTTCCAAACTGATATAAATAGAATTTTCCAAAGGCATTTTTATTATTGCATCAATGGATTTTTCACTTCATCTGGAGGGTGTGTGTACTTTTGATTTATATAGTATGTATGGCAAACATCAAATTCACTTCGAGGGTCTGAAGAAAGTGTCTTGCTTTTGTTTCTGTCACACACAGTGGTAACTCCTATAAACTTAAAATTTTAAATTATGTCAACCAGGCATGTTATTTTAAAATATTTTGGCACAATTTGATAAACTATTTAGCCGGTTATTTCATATCATACTGTGATTTTTTTTTATGGTCCCCTAAACTTAGCTATCTAAGTTAATTGCCACCAAAGACACATATGCAAGTTCAACCATAAAAGATTGCCCATTTAAGCAAATCTTAGCTCCACTTCTGCTACAGTGTAAAGGACCCTTGTATTTTGTAAGATCCCTCAAACTGGAGAGAAACGCTGCTGGAGGTCATCTGGAAGACTGTTTCTTAAAGGCAAACACTCTATCCTACATGGAGAAAACCTGTTAGTTGCCTGGGTGGGGAAAGTGTGTTCTCTCAAGGCAGCAAGAGTCATGGTTCTGGAACATTTAAGAACCCCACAAACAGTCAGACAGCTTCAGAGTAGCTGGAATCAATTTGTAGTGAGAGACCCAGGTGACTTCCCTCCAAAGCTGGGCAGGATCAAAAAGGAAGATCAGTGTAAGGGGTGTTGCATGTTCTTCAGGGAAGAAACAACACAAATTCTGAAGGTCACAAACAGCAAACACAGTTATGTGAAGACACATTTAATGTCAGTCTGCAATTTGCCAGTACCATCGAGAACTAGAATGATGATGACAGATGACGTAGTAGGACATTGCAGATACAGACTCAAGGAAATTTAAAATATAACATCACAACTGACAACCATGGGTTTCAAATAGCTGTGAGGGGGCACAAAATGCATGCAGATCTGACTGACAAGGATAGATTTTATTTCTTCAGACAACTGCTTCTTCAGAGGATGTTAGCTTAGAAATCACTAAAAGGATGTTGACAACGAACATCAGATGAGATTTAGATATTCATGACCTAAAGGGAATAGTCTGTGGAAGCGATGCAGTCAGTGTTCACAGGCTGACAGCCCTTGTTCTCATCACAGTGTGTTTTCTGAGGAGAGTTTGGAGTGTCAGGACAGTGAAGTTACTACAGGGATGAGGAGAAAGACCGTCCTTTCCCATGCAGCTATGGAGATGTATTTCTCTCTTAGGAGTCAGAATATAAGAATGGAAGAGCAGGGTGGATTCAAGGCAATTTGAAAGGATAAATCAATTTTCAGGGAGCTCCCTTAGTCAAATAGGGTACACAAACTAATGAACAAGAGTTGGAGACAGACTCAGAGGTGGCCATTCACTCTTAAAGGTCACATTAAAGAACCAACTCTTACATAAGGGAAACATTAGCATTCGTATTTACAGTCATTTGTAGTCAATGGACACAAACCCCCAAAAGAAAACTGATGTAGCAGTTTTGTCAATCAGCTTTTTTTATAAACCTGCAAATGTGTGACAACCTATTTAATGACTTTCACCTTTGATATTTCAAATATACAGTTAAACATGCTCTCACTTTCTTGTCTAGTAAATCTGGAGTTAGAAAATATGTCTGTCCAGGGAAAGACAGACATATTTTCTTTTTAAAGACATGTTGTATTTATCTTAGGCTGGCATTGAACTTCAGCCATAGCTATGGATGAGGTTAAACTTCTGATTCTCCTGCCACTTGAATGCTGTCTCATAACTGCTTTATCCAGCCTTGCAGATGAAACTCAGGCATGGTGCATGCAAGAAAAGTTACACCAACTCTGCCGCATCCCAAGCCAAGACACATTCCCTGCAAGGGAACCATGGAGTTAGCTTCTCATTGGACTCAGGTATCACTGGGCAGCATTAGCCCAAGGAAGGAAATTGAGTGTTTTGCTAAACTTTGGTCTGCAAATTAAACAGAATGTCGAGTTCTTGTCTCCTGATCCTAAACTAACCAATGGTCAAGGGGACAGGGCACCTCATCCTACAAAAACGTCCCAAGAAGCACTGTAATGTGTTTACTTGGGAAAGCGCAGCCCAGAAGAGGCATCTGTTGCTTAATGAGGTCATGGTTTTCATCTACCTAATTTTCCAGCCGGGATTATAGAGGTGCAAGAAGATCTGGCCAGGGGTTGAAAAGTGAGTCAACAGCACACAGAGGATCAGAATTCAGACACTGAAGAGAGCACTCATGACCTCCAATAACTGGGTGGGGTATACTCTTCCTAACACAAACCTTTATGTAGAAGTGATAACACTTGGAAACATTTCTTTAAAAAACAAAACAAACAAACAACAACAACAAAAAAAACCCCACTAAGCCCATGGCGGTTCAGTGTCTAAGTGGGTTCCATAGTAATGGGAACAGGGCCTGTCTCTGACATAAACTGATTGGCCCTCTCTTTGATCACTTCCCCCTGAGGGAGGAACTGCCTTACCAGGCCACAGAGGAAGAAAATGCAGCCACTCCTGATGAGACCTGAAAGACTAGGATCAGAAGGAAGGGGAGGAGGACCTCCCCTATCGGTGGGCTGGGAAAGGGGCATGGATGGAGAAAGGGGAGGGTGGGTGGGATTGCGAAGGGAGGAGGAAGGGGGATACAGAGGGATACAAAGTGAATAAATTGTAATTAATAAAAAAAAAACAAAACAGTAAGTGAAGTGTTTAGTGTTGTGGTAAGTATGGAATTTAGAATGAGGAAAAACTTGTACTCTTTTACTTGTCATACTCTATCCTTTCAATCAGTTTCATACCAAATAATCTACCAAACCCCATCGCACAGCACTATTAAATCTTTCACTCTTGCAACCAATCAACTGCATTGGAATCTGACCCCTAGAATATATTAGTTATGGATCATAGGGAAATCGAGAGCTGTCCTTGCTTGTCAGCTTCCTCTTCTTTTGGGGTATTGATAGTATTTACTTTATGGTGTGCCTGTGTGGATGTTTGTGTGTGCACGTGTGTATGCAGATGTGTATGTGCGTGAGCCTGTGAAGGATTAGAAGAGAAGCTTGGCTGCTGTTTTTCAGGCACAATCTACATCTCT